TCCCCCCCCCCCTATTTATTTTAACACGGGGTATTGTGTAGCCCCCTGCAGACCCCAACATCCACTGGTACCCCTTAGATATTGTAGAAGCATAAGTCCTTTATTAAATAAATAAATGCTCCCCACTGCAAAAGCTATGTCAATCATGTAGTCCAGTAATGGACCAACTTCAATCACATGAGTGGTGCCCCCATAACCTGGCAACAGAACCACCCGAGCCACTGATCTTATCCCACTTTATTGGGTGGGCAACTTTTCACTTGCAGGTTAAAGGCACCCCCAAGCATGTTATGTAAAGTATTTGGGTATTTTCAATGTTGCCCTATAAGCTGCATTAAAAGACCCGCTCCTCACTGAATGTTTAAAAAAAACAAAACATTGGTACATATCCTCTATGGCAGTGCCAAGCTATCTTTGCCTTTTTTTTAACAAGAAAAGGCCAGAAAAAAATTATTAGATTCAGCTCCCATTGCCTTCAATGGGGTTCGGGTGCTATGTTTGGGGCATGTGGATTTCCTGTTGGGTTCCACGAACGTCCAGCAAACTGAACTTTGCTTGATTTGCGAATTGCGAATTGCAAAAAACATTTGCGTTATGTCTTGGAAAGTCAGTCAATCAGTCAATCTGTCTGCATTTATATTAGGGTTGCACAGATACCAAGTACAGTACTCGGTACAAGTACGAGTACATGTACCGATACTTTTGAGCTCCAAGACTACACTAGAGAAAAATTCAAAACTTAGGAGGCAGCTGCCATGTGTAAGGAGCACACGGAGCTCCTGGGATTTGTACATCTCTGTTTTAATGTATGGTTTTGTTTTTATAAATATAAATGGATGCACAGATACCAGCTTTGCGAGTACAAGTACTGATACTTGCAGAGTACTTACAAGTACGAGTACTGATACATTTTTGTTTATTGTCATGTGACAGTTTTTCTAAAACAATACAGACTAATGATTTCAGGACAGTGGTGGAGCGCCAGAGCCAGGTCCCAGCTGCAACCGCTGCAACCCTGGTAGTTCTCATGAAAATGCCAAGTATATGCACTGGTACTCGAAAAGTATCTGTGCATCCCTAATTTATATCATATATTTTGGCATTGCAAATGTATCAGTGTATATAAAAAGTATCTATTTATAGTATATGGAGAAAAAAAACCTTATGGAAAATGTAATTATAAAAACTGCTGTCTTCTTCTAATATTACATATCATAAACAAAGAAAAAAAAAGACTTTTGCTTTACATCTTTACTTCTGAGGCATATTGTTCCTTTCTTTCCTTTTTTTTCTACATTTGATGATTCAATAGAGAATTGTGTTTTATGTGAGTAAATGACATTTGAAATCACTGCGTTCTTTGTGATCTTCATTTAGAAGCCCCTTGGAAGTCACAGAGGAATTCATCAAACAGTTTAACGCTGCAGAAGAGCTGGAGGATCAAGAGCATATGCTTGACTCCGCTTGGAAAATACTTCATCGATGCAAGGTAACAAAAGTTTACGATGAGTTTAAGTGGAATCTATGCAAATTCTGCACATTTTACTTGCTGGCATGCATTTCACCTCATCTTTTTCCAAAGAAAATGTTCACAACATCTAGATAATTATATCTCATACAATTACATAGTTTACTGAGTTAAAGTTTGTTGAGTTCAGCGTTTCACAACCCCAGCAATTTAAAATAATAAACAATGACAAAACATGAGATCAGTCCTAAAAAGCAAACGGGAGAAAAGGGTTTAACCCTGTATGCTTTTGCCGATCTTCCATAACAGTAAGGACCCAATCACAACGCCTGCGTTCAGCCTGAACGCAAGACAAGGCAATTTGGGGTGGCAAGTTCACGCCACTGCATTCATTGGACATATAATAACCTCCTCCCATGACCCAAAGGTCAGTATATAACGAGCTACGGCTCACTATATACTGGAAGTGCCGCAGCCCAGACAGATCCCGACAATACTGTCGAGAACCACCCAGCTGGCTGATTGACAGCAGGCTCTGCATATCTAGAGGCAGAGCTAGCTGTGCCCGCCCCTTCCCCCGTTCGTTCCTCCAAGCAGTGTGTCAAGGCTGGACCAGTGCTAAGTATCTAACTGGATCACAGCTGCGGAACCGATGGGGTCTTTGTTGGATAAGAAAGTTCAGTGAGCGACTCCCAGTTACATTAACTGCTAGAGGGAGACCGCACTCATCATATACTTCCTGTTAGGCTGGAGTGAGGAATAGGCTAGGATGATATAAAGGTAGTACCCCTTACCCCACACTCATATGCGGCAAGCTGTACATGTGCGATACCAGCGTGCGGAGTATCAAATGGGGAGACAAGCAGTAAGAGTAGCTAAGGGTTAATCTCTAGCAAACAGAGCAGATGCATATATAGGATATGTAGGCAGAGCCAATGGGGAGGTAAATGGCAGCTTATTCAGCAACAGACAATTAGATGCACCACTATGCAGTTTTATCAGCAGGTAGCAAGCATGGGGGCAATATGTGGACAGATCTAATCCTCTCCAATATTAGACTCATCAGCAGACAACAGACTTTAGCAGTATCACAACCCTTCATGGGTTAATATGGCAGTTTTAGAGGTTGTGTCAGTCCTACATCTCTTAGCAGGTATAGCCAACTGAAGGAGATGCAATCCGGAACAGCTGGGAACGCTTACTGGGTGTGTGTGTGAGATAGCAACACATAAGCAACATGCAAGCAAGCACTAAAACATGTAGCAGGTTCAGCAAGTTTTGCAAAGACTTCCAGAATACTTGCGGTTGTGTGCTCTGAAATGTTCTGGGCTCACAGCGGGGTAGCAGTCTCAATTCGCCAGTTAGTGGTTCTGGGCAGTAATCTGTGTTGACAATCCACGGGCAGCCTGTGGGTTCTCTGTTCGTCACTCGACTCTCCACAACGAGAGAACGCCGAGCGACGAACCAGCTGACCTTTTACCCTGGTAGCCGCGCCCCGTGGGAGGAGGCGCCGTGACGTCACGCACGAGACGACCCTTCGCTGGAGCGCGGGGACACGCCGAGTAAGTCTGTGACACAGTGCTGGAGGATCGGAGAGGGGAGGGATGAATCCCTGTGGGGGGACTGACAGTCATTGCTCTCTGCAGTGAGATCATCGGGAAGTGAGCGAGCGGCGGTATGTATTTGCTCACTTCCCGATCTATAGAGCTGACCTGTGACAGTTTCATGGTCCCATGTCGGCTTTAATTATGAGGATGAGTGTAGATTACTCACCTCATAGTTCTCCTTTAATGAAATGTCACTTGTAACATATCAATAAAGTTCTAACAAAAAAATAAAATGTGATGTGGCTTGATCGAGCACATTGGCACTGTCTGAGCAGAAGTACCAGCAGCCGCATGGTTTAGCATGGCTGCTGGTGTGAACAAGCCTATCAGCCCACATAGAGGTTCATATGGTAGATTTAACAGACATTACACACATACCTGATGTTGGCAAGAACTACAGCTTATATACTGTACCCAGATAGGCATGTATGGTGCAGTGGTGCAGCCGTTTTCTCCCACCATTAACACCTCCATAATAAGTGGATGGTGCTTAGCAGGAAGTGGCGTCTCACATCATGCAAGTCAGTAATAAAAAAATTGATATACTGTATATATATCTGTGCGCTTGGACTTGTAATGTCAATATCAATATCATTACAATAGTTAAAACTAGACTTGGGCCACAAAAAGATTAATTTAAATATATTCCTCAACAGCAACAGAGGATATAAATTGATTTCCTGTGCACCAAACACCTTTGCAAATCCAGATATTATAATATTAAGGTAGCAGTGACATCAACACTATGCTGTACATGTCTTGTGCAGAGTAGAGCTGTGGGAGGGACCCAGCAGGCCCACCTACCACAGGCTACATGCAGAAAATTAAAGGAGGGGGCAGATACAAGACCAGTCACCCTGCACAAGAAGCGAGAGCAGCATTGACCAGTCCTAATACAGGAAGCTGCTGAACAGAGGCAATGTTTCACATTGGATTACTGCACAGATCTGGAAGAAATACACAACGCACCCCACGATTCGAGTAAGAATACACCCGCCTCTTATATTTAGACAATATTTGCTTGTCACGGAGTTCAGCTTTAAGGGCTGCCATATTCATTTTTAACGCATGTGTGTTGTGGTGTCCTGGTTAGGTTGTTGGGGTGCCATTTAAAATGAATGACACTGCAGTTCCATGCTTCAGCATGCTTTGTGCTACCGCAACACACAGATCTGAATGGGTCCTATAATTCTAATTCATCATACTATAGTCTGTTCTTTAGAGGACATTGAGCCATGTATATTATTCATTAACCCAGTGAAGTCCGTTGTATTACATGCTCCCTTTGTCTGTCAGTGAAAGTTTGCAGACCCACAGGAGCAGCTGACTTTTTTCTCTCTCGGGCAGGCATGGTTGCCAGAAGCTGGGTGGGATGCCATACGTCCATTTTATAGTAGATACACCTCTGGGTGAAACTACAAATCCCAAGTGTGAATAGAGTTTAGGTAGATGGTTTCACAGGCAGAGAATGGATGCTTGAAGGAGCTAATGGGGTACTTTTTTTCTTTCTTTACATGGACATTTCTTTGGGACTTGTTTCATCATGTTGGATTGTTTAAATGATTATTAGTCATTATTGTTGATGTTATATACTCATTTGATTTATAATCAGTAATAATGTATGTATGTGATTTTACAGTGTTGTAGATATGTATGCTATACACTGAAGTATCAGTTTCAGAAAGTCTTATGCTGGCCCCACACAAGATAATAAATGAATGTTCATAAATGTAATCATTTAAATGATCTTTGGACTGAAAAAGATAATTTAACACAACAAAAAGAACAGAGTTGGCTGACTTTCATTGGGTTTTCTGCTAAGACTGATTGGCACTTGACTGGAAATTGCCTTAACTGATTGAACCAGCCATTTACTGTAACTGAGTTGTAAAAGATATCATTCTTTTATAAAACATATATTTCTATATTGAACGATCATGCCATTAAGCCTTAAAAAACGCAACTAAAGGTCAGCAGATGATCTCATTGACAAAGTTTTATATCATTATCCTAGGCCCAAGGCAGAAAATATGGAAGTACATTGCATATACAGCAAGGTCATAATAATGTCTCTGACACCAACTAACAGATGGCATTAAGCATCATACCTTGGCCCTCATGTAGCCAGCTAGCCATCTATGCCCAGACTCTGCTGTAGATGTGCAAAAAGAAAATACAATATACTGCAGTATCTAGCAAACAACCACACTAAACATTATATAGCCTTACAGTAGTACTAAAGTCTGTGTGTTTTTTATCTTTCTCTGCATTAAGGCAAAAAACACCCAGTACTTTATCTAACCTGA